GAGGATTTTAGGTAGGGCTAATGAGATCTTTGGTCGAGCTAGGAATGGAGCTTGGTTGTGCTCTGGGACTGTTTAGCTTTGTGGGGGTTGGATGAGATGTATACTTGCTAGGCTTAAGGTTAGACAACTGGTCGGGGTCTGGTTACACAACTGGTCGAGCTTCGGTTACACAACTGGTCGGGCTCCGGTTAAATAACTGGTCGGGCTCCGGTTAAATAACTGGTCGGGCTCCGGTTATATTAACTGGTCGGGCTCCGGGGGTGTCACTGGGCCTGTGGGTTGTGCATGGTCAGGCTTCGGTTCGTGCATGGTTGTGCTTCAGCGGTTGTGTACTAGTGCTCTAGGTTTGTTTGCTAAGGCTCTTATGTTTATATGTTTGCTATAAATCCGGGTTTCTTTTTTTGTATATAGTTCAATTGTTTGCTATGGGTCAATAGTTGGTGTCTAGGGCAAGTGGAGGATTTTAGGTAGGGCTAATGAGATCTATGTTTGGTCGAGCTAGGAATGGAGCTTGGTTGTGCTCTGGGACTGTTTAGCTTTGTGGGGGTTGGATGAGATGTATACTTGCTAGGCTTAAGGTTAGACAACTGGTCGGGGTCTGGTTACACAACTGGTCGGGGTCTGGTTAACTGGTCGGGCTTCGGTTACACAACTGGTCGGGCTCCGGTTAAATAACTGGTCGGGCTCCGGTTAAATAACTGGTCGGGCTCCGGTTATATTAACTGGTCGGGCTCCGGGGGTGTCACTGGGGCTGTGGGTTGTGCATGGTCAGGCTTCGGTTCGTGCATGGTTGTGCTTCAGCGGTTGTTTGTGTACTAGTGCTTTAGGTTTGTTTGCTGAGGCTCTATGTTTATATGTTTGCTAGAAATCCGGGTTTCTTTTTTTGTATATAGTTCAATTGTTTGCTATGGGTCAATAGTTGGTGTCTAGGGCAAGTGGAGGATTTTAGGTAGGGCTAATGAGATCTTTGTTTGGTCGAGCTAGGAATGGAGCTTGGTTGTGCTCTGGGACTGTTTAGCTTTGTGGGGGTTGGATGAGATGTATACTTGCTAGGCTTAAGGTTAGACAACTGGTCGGGGTCTGGTTACACAACTGGTCGAGCTTCGGTTACACAACTGGTCGGGCTCCGGTTAAATAACTGGTCGGGCTCCGGTTAAATAACTGGTCGGGCTCCGGTTAAATAACTGGTCGGGCTCCGGTTATATTAACTGGTCGGGCTCCGGGGGTGTCACTGGGGCTGTGGGTTGTGCATGGTCAGGCTTCGGTTCGTGCATGGTTGTGCTTCAGCGGTTGTGTACTAGTGCTCTAGGTTTGTTTGCTAAGGCTCTATGTTTATATGTTTGCTAGAAATCCGGGTTTCTTTTTTTGTATATAGTTCAATTGTTTGCTATGGGTCAATAGTTGGTGTCTAGGGCAAGTGGAGGATTTTAGGTAGGGCTAATGAGATCTTTGTTTGGTCGAGCTAGGAATGGAGCTTGGTTGTGCTCTGGGACTGTTTAGCTTTGTGGGGGTTGGATGAGATGTATACTTGCTAGGCTTAAGGTTAGACAACTGGTCGGGGTCTGGTTACACAACTGGTCGAGCTTCGGTTACACAACTGGTCGGGCTCCGGTTAAATAACTGGTCGGGCTCCGGTTAAATAACTGGTCGGGCTCCGGTTATATTAACTGGTCGGGCTCCGGGGGTGTCACTGGGGCTGTGGGTTGTGCATGGTCAGGCTTCGGTTCGTGCATGGTTGTGCTTCAGCGGTTGTTTGTGTACTAGTGCTCCAGGTTTGTTTGCTGAGGCTCTATGTTTATATGTTTGCTAGAAATCCGGGTTTCTTTTTTTGTATATAGTTCAATTGTTTGCTATGGGTCAATAGTTGGTGTCTAGGGCAAGTGGAGGATTTTAGGTAGGGCTAATGAGATCTTTGTTTGGTCGAGCTAGGAATGGAGCTTGGTTGTGCTCTGGGACTGTTTAGCTTTGTGGGGGTTGGATGAGATGTATACTTGCTAGGCTTAAGGTTAGACAACTGGTCGGGGTCTGGTTACACAACTGGTCGAGCTTCGGTTACACAACTGGTCGGGCTCCGGTTAAATAACTGGTCGGGCTCCGGTTAAATAACTGGTCGGGCTCCGGTTATATTAACTGGTCGGGCTCCGGGGGTGTCACTGGGGCTGTGGGTTGTGCATGGTCAGGCTTCGGTTCGTGCATGGTTGTGCTTCAGCGGTTGTTTGTGTACTAGTGCTCCAGGTTTGTTTGCTGAGGCTCTATGTTTATATGTTTGCTAGAAATCTGGGTTTCTTTTTTGTATATAGTTCAATTGTTTGCTATGGGTCAATAGTTGGTGTCTAGGGCAAGTGGAGGATTTTAGGTAGGGCTAATGAGGTCTATGTTTGGTCGAGCTAGGAATGGAGCTTGGTTGTGCTCTGGGACTGTTTAGCTTTGTGGGGGTTGGATGAGATGTATACTTGCTAGGCTTAAGGTTAGACAACTGGTCGGGGTCTGGTTACACAACTGGTCGGGGTCTGGTTACACAATTGGTCGAGCTTCGGTTACACAACTGGTCGGGCTCCGGTTAAATAACTGGTCGGGCTCCGGTTATATTAACTGGTCGGGCTCCGGGGGTGTCACTGGGGCTGTGGGTTGTGCATGGTCAGGCTTCGGTTCGTGCATGGTTGTGCTTCAGCGGTTGTTTGTGTACTAGTGCTCCAGGTTTGTTTGCTGAGGCTCTATGTTTATATGTTTGCTAGAAATCCGGGTTTCTTTTTTTGTATATAGTTCAATTGTTTGCTATGGGTCAATAGTTGGTGTCTAGGGCAAGTGGAGGATTTTAGGTAGGGCTAATGAGATCTTTGTTTGGTCGAGCTAGGAATGGAGCTTGGTTGTGCTCTGGGACTGTTTAGCTTTGTGGGGGTTGGATGAGATGTATACTTGCTAGGCTTAAGGTTAGACAACTGGTCGGGGTCTGGTTACACAACTGGTCGGGGTCTGGTTACACAACTGGTCGAGCTTCGGTTACACAACTGGTCGGGCTCCGGTTAAATAACTGGTCGGGCTCCGGTTAAATAACTGGTCGGGCTCCGGTTATATTAACTGGTCGGGCTCCGGGGGTGTCACTGGGGCTGTGGGTTGTGCATGGTCAGGCTTCGGTTCGTGCATGGTTGTGCTTCAGCGGTTGTGTACTAGTGCTCTAGGTTTGTTTGCTAAGGCTCTATGTTTATATGTTTGCTATAAATCCGGGTTTCTTTTTTGTATATAGTTCAATTGTTTGCTATGGGTCAATAGTTGGTGTCTAGGGCAAGTGGAGGATTTTAGGTAGGGCTAATGAGATCTATGTTTGGTCGAGCTAGGAATGGAGCTTGGTTGTGCTCTGGGACTGTTTAGCTTTGTGGGGGTTGGATGAGATGTATACTTGCTAGGCTTAAGGTTAGACAACTGGTCGGGGTCTGGTTACACAACTGGTCGGGATCTGGTTACACAACTGGTCGAGCTTCGGTTACACAACTGGTCGGGCTCCGGTTAAATAACTGGTCGGGCTCCGGTTAAATAACTGGTCGGGCTCCGGTTATATTAACTGGTCGGGCTCCGGGGGTGTCACTGGGGCTGTGGGTTGTGCATGGTCAGGCTTCGGTTCGTGCATGGTTGTGCTTCAGCGTTGTTGTGTACTAGTGCTCCAGGTTTGTTTGCTGAGGCTCTATGTTTATATGTTTGCTAGAAATCCGGGTTTCTTTTTTTGTATATAGTTCAATTGTTTGCTATGGGTCAATAGTTGGTGTCTAGGGCAAGTGGAGGATTTTAGGTAGGGCTAATGAGGTCTTTGTTTGGTCGAGCTAGGAATGGAGCTTGGTTGTGCTCTGGGACTGTTTAGCTTTGTGGGGGTTGGATGAGATGTATACTTGCTAGGCTTAAGGTTAGACAACTGGTCGGGGTCTGGTTACACAACTGGTCGAGCTTCGGTTACACAACTGGTCGGGCTCCGGTTAAATAACTGGTCGGGCTCCGGTTAAATAACTGGTCGGGCTCCGGTTATATTAACTGGTCGGGCTCCGGGGGTGTCACTAGGGCTTTGGGTTGTGTATGGTCAGACTTCGGTTCATGCATGGTTGTGATCCAGAGGTTGTTTGTTTGGTTCGTTCATGCTAGGCTTGCGGTTAGACAACTGGTCGAGCTCCGGTTACACAACTTGTCGGGTTCCGATTATATTGCTCCAGGGGTATGACTTGTTGGGCTTTGGGTTGTGCATGGTTGTGCTCCGGTTCGTACATGGTTGTGCTCCAGTGGTTGTTTGTGTACTAGTGCTCCAGGGTTAGGGCTCTATTTAGTGTACTAGTGCTATTCAGGTGCGCGCGCGCGCGCGCGCGCGCGCGCACACACGCACACACACACACACACACACACATATATATATATATATATGCGTGTGTGTGTGTGTGTGCAGAAATAATATTAATAAAACAATTAACATCGTGTAGTGTACTCTATATATCAAAATATATTACTTTGAAACCCGTATCAGTCACTAAACAAAAAATTGTGCTACACTAATTACAAATTCGCTACTTGTAGACCGCCAGCTCGCTACTTTCAGCAATTTGGAGCTGGCAAACCTGGTCAGCATAACAATAGTCAGCTCGCCCCCACACCGACACGATCAGGACGCGACCGTCTGCTCAGAACCTTTCTAGAATTACCTTGTTCACTGAGTCTGGACATTGTTTAAGTGTTTGCAATGGTACAGTTGTCTAGTTTCAGGACCTAGAGTAGTGATATGATAGTGTGGTTGGTGGGCGTGCTGACATCCCCACTACTAGGCTGACGTGCTGACCTCCCACCAGGCTGACGTGCTGACCCCCCACCAGGCTCACGTGCTGACCCCCCACCAGGCTCACGTGCTGACCCCTCCACCAGGCTCACGTGCTGACCCACCACCAGGCTGGCTGAGGCTGATGTGCTGACCCCCCCCCCACCAGGCTCACGTGCTGAGGCTCACGTGCTGACCCACCACCACCACGTGCTGACCCACCACCAGGCTCACGTGCTGACCCACCACCAGGCTCACGTGCTGACCCACCACCAGGCTCACGTGCTGACCCACCACCAGGCTCACGTGCTGACCCACCACCAGGCTCACGTGCTCTCTTAAATCACACACTTTACAACATTGAGTTTAGTATAGCTTTAGGTCTTGAGGTAATCTTGTATTCCCCAAAGTCAATGGTAAACGTCTAGTGAAGGTGGTGTATTGTGGAGCAGTCCGAAGGCAACTGTAGCCCAGCCAGGATGGAGGTGAGGCTTGAGAACTTGCATTTGGTTTATAGCCATTTAGAACACCATTAAGCTCTAGTAGAATGAACATTGTGCACATTTTAGTATGGTGTTTGGTATACCATACCCAAATGGTAACCTGTAGTAACCTGAGGGCTACTGCCTTCAGAGGGAATTGGTCTACCCAACCCGTCCTCTTGACTTATGCATCACGTTTCGACATATAAATTCCCTAAGGCTAAAAACTCAAATTTGGCGTGATTTCCCAGCCACTTTGACTGGACGGTAGAGTGACGGTCTCGCGTCATGCAGGTCGGCGTTCAATTCCTGACCACCTAAGTGGTTATGCACCATTCCTTCCCTCCACCCCGTCCCATCCCAAATCCTTATCCTGACCTCTTCCAAGTGCTATAAAGTCGTAATGGCTTGACGCTTTCCCCTGATAATTAAAAAAAAATAAAAATTAAAATTATTCATTGATCCTCGGTTAGGTTAGGTTCGGGCAATTTAGTACAGCAGTTTAGTGTTGTGAATGCTTGAGAGGACGGGCGGCTCTGCACCTTCTCTATACTAGCCTTATTTAATCTGGTGCGGTGTTTTAACTTATCCTAACCTAATTGATATTAAAGTCCTTTGAATCTTTGTTGTATCTGAGTTTGAAGTTGTGAATGGAGGTTTCTTTTAATATTCTTATTTCAATAATTACCCAAATGTAATTACCTAAGTGTAGTTAAAGGATGAGAGCTTAGCTCGTGGTGTCCCATCTTCCCAATACTGTCGTAATAACGCTTTGAAATTACTGATGGTTTTGGCCTCCACCACCTTCTCACTTAGCTTGTTCCAACCATCTACCACTTTGCAAAAGTGAATTTTCTTAAATTTCTTCAGAAGATTTGTTTAGTGGTTTAAATTTTTACCTCTTGTTCATGAAGCTCTGGGTCTCGGGAATTCTTCCGTATCAATTTCATCAATTACCATTACTATTTTGTACGTAGCATATAGTTGCATGTCTTGACACCATTTCCAGTTTGTTGATGTTCTTCTTAAGATATAGGTATTCGAACCCCAGTTGGAATCGGACCCAACTATGGGATGGGTTAACCCAAGTATCACGTTTCCAAAAGGGTCGCCCATGTTGGAAAAGACAAACGCTGAAAGAATGTTGTTAAAAACATCTTGATAACTTATTAAACCAAAATTATTTATTAGTCAGAAGACAGACAGAAACGCGATCTATATGTAAAACCTCTACCAGACAAATATTTAAAGTAAAACTGAAGATATTTGTAGTTGTATAAAAGTGGCAAACAAGCAGTGAATCACAACCAGGTCCTAGTGGTATGCAGGCAAAACATAGGAGAGAGTGTATGCCTTCTCTCTAAAGGCAGTAAAACATATTTATACTTTGTTTTAATCAGTTTAGTTTTTCAACTATAACAAATTACATTTATTACATTTTATTTTAAATTATTAAAATACTTTCATATCCATTTACAGGGTCTGTAAGTACTGTAATATCATGTATTCCTATTACATATTTGATAGCATAATTAATGTACTGTATACATTTTATTTTCAGGATATGGATATAAGTCTTAGTTGTCGTGTATGCTTGGGAGAGTTTAATGATGGTACTCACCGTCCACTGCTCTTGCCTACTTGTGGCCACAGCTTTTGCACTTTCTGTATAGATCATCTTTATAAGCAGGCCAAGTATGGATGCCCAGAGTGTAAAAAGGTGAGACAAATCAGAAACCGTACAGTATTTTAGTCCTGTTACTGTATATAAATGTAATTGGGTAATTGGTGGTATAACTCTTTCTACTCATGCACTATGTGAAAGTTGGTACATGGTCTCAGTTCTTCACCAGAGCCATATGTACTCATTCTTGGAAGTTATGTCACATCAAAAGTGTGACATTCCACATAAAAAAAAAAAAAGTATACAGTGGCACCTTGACTTACGATTGCCCTGACTTATGATAATTTTGGGTTATGATGTATATTTGATCGAAAAATGCGACCCGACTTAGGATAGTTTTGTCGAGTACTGTAGCGATATTTGTTGGTATATGTTCGGATCGACCGAGCGCGTGGTTCCTGGTCACGCTGGCGGACCTGCCTCGGTTTACTAGAGACGCCCGCTTAGTGACGATCACGCTTATTAGAAATTCTGGTGATTTTGGAAATTGTAGTTTTTTTTTTTTGCTTTTTGAACATAAAACTGATTATTATACATGTATATCACACCATGGGTCCCAAGAAAGTCAGTGGTAAGGTTCAACATATGAAAACCCATGTAAGGATGACCATAGAACAAAAACAAGAGATCATTCTTATATATGAAGATGGTGTGCGGGTTGTCGAACTAGCTAGGCAGTACAACAAATCTCAGTCAACGATATCCACCATCATTGCTAAGAAAAAGGACATTATGAGTGTTAAAATGGCAAAAGGCATATCAATAATCATGAAATATAGAACACAAACACTTGAGGATGTTGAAAAGTTATTAGTTTGGGTACACAGTAGGTGATAGCATTTCAGAGGCCATCATTTGTGAAAAGGCAAGAAAATTGTATGAAGATCTTTTGCAAACACCTGATTTTATGCACACACGGGGGGAATGTCACAATAAACTCGGCGCATCGGAGGTTAAACACACAAAATAGTTTCAACAGCAAAGTTCTACAGAAAGTCCTTTACAGTAATTTGAATAAATTCCAATAAATGCACTGGGGGGATAGTGTTATCAGTTGTCTACCCTTCAGATTGTTCAACTAAAAGTTCATAAGTATTGCACAGTCCTCTATTGTAGTTCCAATTGGTGCTTCATGAGCATTACTGTATAGTACCAGTATGCTGTGCCCATGTGTCTTTCCACCATACTTTTCTTATCACACGCACTATCACTTGCTTGCTACACTATTATTGTCATGATTTAATCTTCAAGCAGAGCACTAATTTTATCGTGAGATGAGTAGGCATTTGTATTTTAAAGATTATTTCATAATCTTTATTATAGTACTTGTATACAAAATTGAGATATAATTAACTACAGAGTAGTTTACCCCCAGGTTTTATCAGGTTTTTAGGCAAGGTATTATAATGTAGCTCAATCAAATGTTATGACTGCTGACTTTGCATTTTTCAGGCAAATGCTGTAAAAGATGTATCGTCTCTACCAGTAAACTACAGTTTGCTTAGTGTGGCAAAGGCTAGACAACAAATTTCTCCTGATGTGATGCAAAATTCTTCAGTAAGTGTCGGAGCCATGCCATCTGCTTCTGAGCCTCGTTGCCAGCCACCGAAGACATTGCGGAAATCACAATCTACTAGTACTCTTGCCCCTCAATCTGCACCGGGTGTATCTAAACTTACTTCTTCAATGACTTCGAGGTACTTACGTGCAAATCAAGCAAGGCCACACCATGAGCTTAGCCGTGTAAATCAAGCAAAGCCATTCCATGAGCTTAGCCATGCAAATCAAGCAAAGCCACGCCATGAGCTTAGTCATTCAAGAAGGTCTGGTCAGTTTATGGGACGAAGTTCTGGAGCAAACGTCTCCTCTGTGGTGTCTTCAAAGGATCATGAGATGATGACGTTACAAGAAGAGCTAGATTTTCAAATGGCTATTCATCTTACCTTTTGCAAAGTGAGAGGCATCAGTTTAGTTAATAGCTAATCCATTCAAACCCTATTCCAAAATGTTTTTAAATGCCTTACTTTGAGGGTTGGTCACCATAAAACCTTTTCATTCCTTATTTCATTCTTCTTTAGAATGTATGCTTCATTCATGTAGCATTGTTTTGTTTACCTTTAGTCTCTTGTGAGACTACTGTATTATTATTATTACTGTATTGTATTGAATTGTACTCTAGTGAGACTACTGTATTGTTATTATTACTGTATTGTACTGTACTGTATTGTATTATTAGCACACTTCCACATTCCCTTACTAGGATGCTAGTTGATTTTTCATCATTCTAGTCCAATGAATGCTGTTGCAATCTTGTCATCCATTTTCTTGCCAACATGGCTAGATTCTTGTTTTAATGTAGATAGAATATATAATAAAAACAAACGCACATACATTGGGGCCCTTGCGGCCGAGTGGACAGCACTTGGGAGTAGTAGTCCTAAGGGCCTAGAGTTCAATTCCTGGCTGAGGCAGAAACAAATGGGCAGAGATTTTCATCCTGATGCCTCTATTCACCTAGCAGTAAATAGGTACCCGGTAGTTACATCTACAGGCTGCTTCCTGGGGATATACAGTATGTAGTAAACATAATAGAGGAAAAATAGATTGGTTAGAAATGCAGGGTTCATGAGCTAATAGCTCGATTCTGCAGGCACAAATAATAAATACAAATAGTAAATACATATACATATCCACGGTACAGGGTTTGGTTAGGCTTTGTCTTGGGGCAGCAGGTTTTCCGCTTTCGAATTCTCCCATTCAGGCTCAATCTGGCTTGGGCCATGGTGGCCTGACTTCATTTGTAGGGTGTTTAGGTGTTGGCCTAGCTTGATGACTGCTGGTGTGGTCTCCCAGTCAGTCAACCTGTCTGCTAGCCAGGGATCTGGGGCCAGATTCACAAAGCAGTTACACAAGTACTTACGAACGTCTACATCTTTCCTCAATCTTTGATGGCTTTGATTACATTTATTAAACAGTTTACAAACTTGAAAACATCCCAATCAACAGTTGTTATTGTTATAAACAGCCTCCTGGTGCTTCAGAGCTCATTAACTGTTTAATAATTGTAAACAAATTCGTCAAAGACAGAAAAGGTGCAAAGCATCGTAAGTGCTTTTGTAACTGTTTTGTGAATCTGGCCCCTGGTTCTCTCTCAGCTTGTTAGTTCAGGTTAATGATGAACTGGCAGAAGTCCCAGTTGGTTCCACCCCAGGTTCGAACCCTTATTGTTTTCCTCTGGGCAGGATTTTTAGCTTAAGAGGCTTTTCTGGTTTCTTCGGGGCAGCCCATTTCACTGCTCTCGTGATTGCTAGGTGCAGACCCCTGTGGTTCTCCATTGGCAGCCGTGTTGCCAGCTTCCTCTTCAGGTATTTTTTGGGTTCCTTTTCCTGTATGTTCCTGTGTCCTTACTCGACATCTTCACGGTTGCCTCGTCTCTCAGTTGGGGTTTTGTGACCAGTGGTCATCAGTCTGGCCAGGGCCATTGGTCTTCAACTCTTCGTCAGGCTCTAAGTGTAGTTTGGGAGTTTTGACTGTTGTAGCCACTGCGAAGAGTTCGAATTCCACCAGGCTCTGTGATCTGACTCCACTGGCTAGGATCTGACTTGGACTGTTTCCCCGTCTCCAACATTCTAACCAGTGGTCTGTCCTAGCTTGTTCCAGTCTCCACAGAATGGACCGTCATCGCCGCCTCCTTCCTGTGGCTTTGCTAGACGTTTGGGCACCTGGATGTTGACCTCTTTGCGTCGGTATAGTCTGTGTGTTCCTGTCTGCAGTGCCAATCTCTGATTGCGAGGCCCTAGCAGTAGATGCCTTTTGACTAAACAGGTTGAAATGGTGGTTCATGTACCTCTTTTCCCCAGTCCAGCTGTTGCTTTGGGTTCTGGCACAATAGGAGTCCTGCAAGGAAGGTTGTAGCCAAATATTAACCCAAATATATTAACCCAAATTTATATTTGGGTTAATACAAAACAGCAGCAATATTGTTGATTCCTGGTTGATACCTGGTTGATGGGGTTTTGGGAGTTCTTTTACTCCCCAAGCCTGGCCTGAGGCCAGGCTTGACTTGAGAGTTTGATCCACTAGACTGTTGCTTAGAGCGGCCCGCAGGCCCACATATCCACTCGGGCCAGGCTTGACTTGAGAGTTTGATCCACTAGACTGTTGCTTGGAGCGGCCCGCAGGCCCACATATCCACCACAGCCCAGTTGGTCCAGCACTCCTTGGAGGAAACAATCTAGTTTCCTCTTGAAGATATCCACGGTTGTTCCAGCAATATTTCTTATGCTCGCTAGGAGGGTGTTGAACAACCGCGGACCTCTGATGTTTATACTGTGTTTGATTGTGCCTATGGCACCCTTGCTCTTCACTGGTTCTATTCTGCATTTTCTTCCGTATCATTCACTCCAATGTGTTGTCATTTTACTGTGTAGATTTGGTACTTGGCCCTCCAGTATCTTCCACGTGTATATTATTTGATATCTCTCGTCTTCTTTCTAGTGAGTACATTTGGAGGGCTTTGTCATCTGCAAAGGATGATACAAAGCTGTGACTTGTATTTTTTGTCTATATCTGATATGAGAATAAGGAAAAGCAGCGGTGCAAGGACTGTACCCCTGAGGTACAGAGCTTTTAACTGCACTTGGACTCGATTTTATATGATTGACTGTTACTCGTTGAGTCCCGTTTGACAGAAAACTGAGTATCCAGCGTCCTACTTTACCAGTTATTCCCATTGACCTCATTTTGTGTGCTATCACTCCATGGTCACATTTATCGAAAGCCTTTGCAAAGTTCGTGTATACCACATCAGCATTGTTTTTCTTCTAATGCCTCAGTGACTTTGTCATAGTGATCAAGTAGCTGTGAGAGACACGATCTTCCCACTCGAAATCCATGTTGGCCTGGGTTGTAAAGGTCATTGATCTCCATGAAATTGGTGACCTGACTCCTAATCACACTCTCAAATACTTTTATTATGTGGGATGTTAGTGCAACTGGTCTATAATTCTTTGCCAATGCTTTGCTTCCTCCCTTGTGTAGAGGGGCTTTGTCTGCTACTTTAAGTGCATCTGGTATCTCCCCGGTGTCCAAGCTCTTCCTCCACACTATACTGAGTGCCTGTGCTACCGGCACTTTGCATTTCTTTATAAAATTGAATTCCATGAATCTGGCCCCCGAGCCGAGTGCATGGGCATATTTTTAATTTCTCTTTCAAAGTCTAGTATGCTCGTGTTGATATCAGTTATATTTACAGGGGTTTGAATAACCCGCATAAAGAAATTGTCTGGATGTTCCACTTTCGTGTTGTTTATTGGACTGCTTGTCTGTTGTATTCTGAATATTGTACTAGAATTTATAATGGATGTGGGAATTTTCCCACAAATGGTGTCTCACCTGCTGTTTTCCTCCTAGCAACAGTATGAGGTCTCTTTACGTTCCTTCCGCCATTTTGTCCATTTTGTCCCCAGGGGGGTGCTTCCCAGACGGGGCGTGTCTGCTTGGCCGGGTTGGTTCTTTCCTGGCTCGCCGGGTTAGGGTTCCTGTTCTTTGGCGGACGTTCCTTTTGATTCTTTGACAGCTGTGAATCTGATGCAGCTTGCTCAGTGTCCCCACCCAGGGGTTTTTCCATGGCTCCGCCTCTTTTTACATGGTCGGTCTGGTCAGTGGCAGGGCTGGTTCGGTCTTCTTGAGTCTTCTCGTCTGGTACTTTGACTCGAGTCTCTCGCCATCTGTTTGGTGGTCAGGTAGCTTCTTGAATGTGTCCCACCTGCGTGCTTCTCAGCATCAGTATGGGGTTTTCTGGCGGTCCTTCTTTTTCTTTTTGCCTCTTCGTTAGTGTACTGCGCTCTTTGTTATCATGGTCTATCTTTCTCTATTCCCTTCAGTTTGTTGTGGCCCCTTCGGTTCCGGACGGGTCCCTGGGGTTGTTGCTGCTTGGTTGGTTGGCCGGGGTGCTGCTTCCGGTTACAGCTCTCCGCCGTCCTTTGTGCGCCACGGCCTCTGTGGCCGGGGCTGCACTTTGGGGTGATCCGGTTTCCCTTCTTCCCTGTTCTCGGGTTTGGGTCTTTCCGGTCGTCTGCTGGGTCCTTCTGTCTAGCCAGCCTGTGGTCTTTCCCCGTGCCCCTGACGTTCGTAGGTTTGCTGCGCTTGCTGCTATCTTTGGAGGCATGTCTTGGGCAGACTTTCTGGCACAGGGTTGTTTTGGTGGTCGCGCTGGGTCCTGGCTGCACGCTTCCTCGTGTATGTTCCTGGTCCTAGTCGGGCCTGTGTCGCCTTGGGTCGGTTGTTGCAGCCAATTGTCTCATTTTCGTGTTGTGGTGTGAGCACCGACCGCCTCCCGGTTGCGTGCCTCTGTTTTCGTCTTTGGTGAAGTAGCTCCGGGAAGCCGTAGCGGCTCCCCCCAGAAAACCTGAGTTGAATGTAATGAAACGCCATTTTCTAGTTGCGTCCCGGAGGCTCCCCAGCAACCCTCTATCACTCCCGGACGGCGTTTTTTTCACGTTTTTGACATCCAGCCTCAGGACTGAAGTGTAAATCGCCGGCGCGAGGGTCTGAGGCTCCCCTTTCCCCCCCTTGAGCTGCACAGACATGCGGCATGGCTCGTGTGACATCATGCTTGTTGCTCGTTTTTCTTTTGGGGAGTTCTGTCTAATCGTTTGGAGGTTTTCGTTTTACCAGAATAAGGGTATATTTTGTGGCACTTGCCTTTCTGGGTGCTGTCCCGGTCAATGGCAGATATAGAATGCCCCACATCACATGTGCATTTCTATGGGCCATTGCTCCTCGTGTCTCTGAGGGCGGGCCAGGTTCTGGCTCGTGGTCCCTGGTAGGCCTAGAACTTCACCCACATCGACTGATGCAAAATAGTTTGGGTATCCATATCGGCCCGGATAGCTCTGGGAAGCCTCCAGGACTCGCCCAGAAAATGACGTTTCATTACATTCAACTTTTTTTTTTTTTTTTTAAGTTAGACTTTTCTGTGATGTATGCTATATGATAAAATATGATATTGGATTATGTCTGCAATATATGTTACATTAAAAAATGTAATTCTGTACACTGGATCGTGCAGTTTAAGTGCTAAGGTAGCTTAATTTCACAGGGTGGAGGTTTACCAAGTAAGGAATACTATTGAAGATACAAGATTTGCTTGTAAGACTGATGTCCATATGTTCTATAGAAAGTTCAAATTGTGTAGGCTATTTTTGGAGTCTAAATGTACATAATTTTGTTGCAGCATTTATTTTGGAAACATATCTTGAATATCTGGAGACACAAGCTTTTGATAAAAATTCAGTATGCCATCTTTCATTTACTCCCAGGATGCTAGCCACGGCCATGATGACGCTACTCGTTCCTTGTGCCGTTGGCAATACCCAGAAGATGATGAGCTGCATACCGCCCTCGCACTTTCCCGGGAATATAAGGTATCATTAGTTTTATGAGGATTTCCTTGAATAATTTTGCTTTCTTACACTATATATCAACAATTCAGTTTTTGATGGTAATGTCAAATGTGTTGTCTCATTACTTGTCCTCTTCTTATCAGGATAACTTATTTGTTAGTACAGTGACACCTCGACATACGACTGCCCCTACTTATGAATTTTTCAAATTATGACCCCAGAATCATAAAAAAATGCAACTCGACTTCCAACTGTTGCCTCGACTAGCGACTTATATCGACTGATACGTATATCAACAAGATCGTGGTTCCTAGTGGCAAGGGCAACTCCGCCTCAGTTTACAAGAGCCACCCACTTAGTGACGATTGCGCTTATGAAGAATTTCATTGTACTGTATATGTTTTTTGAACATCCATGGATCTCAAGAAAGTCAGTGGTAAGGTGTAGGACTGGTAAGGTGCAGTCCTAAGAAAATAGTTGAGTAGAGGCAGTAGAGAATGTCCCTTCCTCATTAAGAAAATGTGTGAATTATGGGAAGAACTGTAAATTTTTGTTGAAAAAACTCGCCCAGATAACGCTGTTGCAGGCCGTTGCATTGACCTTTTAAATGACACTGTAGTGTCTCGCATCAGACAAGAGTTAAAATGTAGGGAAAAAAAAGTGTCTTTTGACAGATTCTTAGTAAGACTAAGCAAGCAGTGAGTCGCAACCTGGTCCTAGTGTATGCCTGCAAAACGTAGGGCAGAGAGTATCCCAGCGAAGTCATCACTGCCTGTTGTTATAATGGAAGGGGACTCCCCTTCCAAACAGTAACACCTCTCCTCCTCCTCCCCCCCCCCTCCTCGCCATCTTCCATACGCCAACAAGAGTCCTCAATAAAGGTAAGATATACATACTGTATTGTAGCTAGTATAAAAAGTGGTATTCAGTATAAAATGTATTTTTAAGTTAATATTTTGGAGGGCGTGGAATGGATTAATTGAATGTACATTATTTTTTGTGAGAAAATTCGTTTCAGGTTACGAATTTTCGAGTTAAGACCCATCTCTGGGAACAGATTTAATTCGTAAGTGGAGGTACCACTGTAAAACTAATTATTATCTATTTAAGGCTTATTTATTATTGATTAGGCTATAGAGACTATAACATAAACGTGAAAATTATTTCAACAATAAAATCAGTAATAAATTCCAGTTGGGGTTAGTACACTAGCTACTGTGTTATTATTGAAATTAAATCATAGCTGTCTAATTGTGAACGTTAGAATACATTGGACGGCTTTCTGTAACCCGTTTAATCCTGTTAGTACGCGTTGTCTCGGCAGACACGTGATTCACCAGAACAGGGTACGCCTCTCTTGTAGATAACTCCACGCTGCAAAAGTAATATCATATAATTTCTATATAATTGTGTGTATTTCCACAGATACACATAGAAAATGGAGTTAATGTATATGTAAAACACACTGGTGGTTTTTGATTATCATTCAGCATAACGGTTGGGCACCAAAAAAAAATACAATATTGTGGCCACAATAAGGTAATTATGGGATACTTAGCCCACCGAACGCGGTGTCCACAATGAAGATGAAACTGGTAGCAAAGGGTGAGGTCTGATAATGCTCGGATGGTCCATATAACAGATGGTGATGTTAGCCAGCTCCGGGACACAGATCAAGATGGCCTCACTCTCTAGCCAAGTCTCGATGCAAGTAATCCGCACGCCACCTAGCGCCGGATGGTATAAACCTTGGCATATAATTCACGACATTTTATTTTAGTTTTCTATTTGATTGAAACGTTGTCGGCATTATTTTATGTCATAATAACGTACTCTAGGTAACAATAGACGAATTTCCGCTGTGTATATCATTAAACAAAGTGGCGTTAGATAAAATTACATATATATAGGTGAAATTCAGTTCATGACTTGTTGATACTAGATCAGCTGATCGTAGTGTGGAAAACTTTACCGATAAACAGTGATATAATTTACCAAATTGAATTAAATAAATTTCCAATTTATTATTCCCTCATAAAGTGAACATGATTACTGTGTTTAATTCGATTTATATATATACAGTATAGTTTATTCTCATAGAAGCTGAGCGGCTGCTGCAATAACAGTATCGATATTAGTGAGAATTTTACTGTACTATGCTACTGGTTAGTAGGTTAGTAAATTTGATTTCTTAGCACAATAAATTTATCTTATCGTACTAAGGGTTAGTATTTGGGTGTCAAAAATTTCCAACATACCCGTATGTCAGTTTGATAGCTTCAGGGAGCCAAAGGGGCTCCCCTCAGAAAGAGAATTTCCCAATATGTTTTTTGGCACCTTTGTTTACTTAGCTTGAATCTATGACCTTGTTTTTGAAGTATTAGGTTTTAAGAATTGCTCTTGTCAGTTTTGTCAATTCCTGTTTGTTTTGTATGTAATGATTGAACTGCCTTTTTTTTCCTTCTAGCTTTGGCATATTTAAGGCCTCTATCTTCCTCTTATAGCTCTTGTTTTTCAGTTCTGGAAGCCATTTTGTAGCATGTCTGCACCTTTTCCAGTTTATTTATGAACTTCTTGAGACATAGGTACCATACAACTGCTGAATATTCCAGTTTTTGGTCTCAAAAAAAGTTGTGATTATTTGAGTGACTTTTTGAAAAAGCACCAGCTAATCCCTAAAATCTGTAGTAACACAGCCATTATACCTTCTTGTTTATGGTCTATATAAATAAATTATAGGGAGGGGCGTTTAATACCAGACATGTGCTCTGGGAGCTATTGAGGGGGCTGCATAGAAAATAGATTACACTCAATGCTCTTCTTATTTGCTTTTATTTTTCAGAGTTAAGAACAGCACACACCAGTCAGCATCTGGAGTCGGCCTGTGTTATGTTACACGAAAGGTTGACTAGTTTTTTATTTATTATTATTTTCCGTTAAGCGTTAATTTTGGGACAATGTTATAACCTTGTCAAGTATCAAAGAATTTAGTTCTGATCAGTTTGGGTTGTAATACTGCTCTATATTTTATTGCATTAGCTGTTGTTACGGTTCCCTTACTACTAAGAAAAAACAAGTTTTCTAGAATAGGAAAATTGTGAATTTTTATGGGAAAATGTGGTTAGTAAAAGTTTTGAAATTAAGAAGCTGATATATGATTAATAAAGGAAGAATAGGCTTATGTATATACATTTTCAAGAACATTTGTTTTTAAACTGAAAAAAAGACACACACACACACACTTCCACGAAGTTGATAGCGTCTAGAAAATATGCTGCATAATTTCAACCCAAATTTGTTACGGCCTGGATTTTAGCTTGATACAATGATGACTTTGTGAGTGTTAGTAATTATATATATACACTTTTACATTATATTGCTTGGGAAAATTGTATTATTCCATTTAAACTACAGTGTGAACAATCAGAACTTTGTAATTTTCATGAGCAAAATAACTTGCATTATGGTACATTTAGTATGTCAGTTGATCCCCAGTTTTTTATTGATGAATTAATGTTAATGTTATTTGATTTTGCTTCATCTGTATAACTGATGAAATTTTTTAAATAACGTTCTATTAACCTTTTATTTTAGACATCTCGATCTCTTGGCATGTTAAAAAAATAAGTACTGTATTAGGTTATAATAAGTACCTGAAAAGTAATTCTACTTTAAAAAGGACTCGTTATGTAGTTTAAATCATTAACAATAGATCAATATTTGTCTTGAAAGTGTTTTATGAGCATAATGTAGCAGCACAGACACTATAGTGGTTTGGTTTGGCATAACCTTAAGAACAAAAGACTTTTCTGATGTCTCAACATATTTATGAATAAACATAAATTAGTTTCATGTGTATTAGTAAACTTTTTTATTTATTAGATCTGTTGCCAGAAGTTTAGAATAGCTTTGTACAAGAGAAGGCTGAACAAGAAAAGCGTGTAAAATACTGACGTTGGCAGTCTTCTCATGTACCGTCTTCAGTTTTACATTTAATCTTGGGAAAATAGAAAGCTGGAAAAAAAAGCCTTGAATGTTAAGTGGTGTGGTAACCCTGTATATTAGCAAGGTGTTGAAGTGCCTTAACCTTCCAAAGATTTATAGTTAAGTGTACAGTTTTCTTAGTTTAAATGTAATAATTTGTAACATACATGTGTAGTGATAAATTATGTAATGAACTCTGATGGCTGTAATACAATTTTTAGACAGATTATCTCGGATTGTTCAGACACTCCTAAAGAAAGTCCTAGTTTTATGATTTTTTATTAACTTTATTTTTTGTTAATGCTCAGTTATTGGCAAGTAGTTTCGTTGGGTGTTTTATCAGAAAAAAAAGTTGTATCGGCAGCTTACAGTATATTTTTATAATTTCAGAAACTTTTTGTATTTGATTGCATTTCAGATATAATATATATAGTAATTTTTAATTAGTTTATGGTCACCTGGCTCATGACATCCTAAGTAATCATGTAAGCAATAGTCGGCTTGCCATTTTCAGTTCGGTATCTGATTGATTCGCCTTGTCGGTATACATTTTATTTATTTGGCATAATTACTTTTAGTAAAGTTATTGTTCAGTAACATGTACAATAAATTTTCTTGGTCAGTTAAATGTATAGTTAGACACCTAACCAACAAATATGAAAAGCAAGGAATGTTAATGTTTCAGTTCATCCTGGAAAATTATCAAGTTGTACCAGTGGTCAGTGTTTGGGTACATCCTGGACCATTATTAAATTGTACCAGTGGTCAATGTTTTGGTTCATCGTGGACTATTATCAAGTTGTACCAGTGGTCAATGTTTGGGTTCATCCTGGACCATTATCAAGTTGTACCAGTGGTCAATGTTTGGGTTCATCCTGGACCATTATCAATGGTCCAGGATGAACCCAAACATTGACCACTGGTACAACTTGATAATGATAATGGTCAGTTGTACCAATGGTCAGTGTTTGGGTTCATCCTGGAAAATTATCAAGTTGTACCAGTGGCCAATGCCTCGGTTCATCCTGGACCATTATCAAGTTGTCCGTGGTCAATGTTTTGGTTTATCCTGGACCATTATCAAGTTGTACCAGTGGTCAATGATGGACCAATTTTTTTTTTCCGGTTTGGGTTGGGTGTCTAATTTTTAGTGATAATTTTCATTGTGACTTGATGCAAGTGTAAATTTGCTCTCATTTAATTCAGGTTTGTATTTTCTTATGATAATTACTTTACATTTAAGAAAATTTATGCAAATGCTTTCAGCTGGCAACATGAAAGTTCAAGCTAAAATTACAATTGAATAGATAAAGCAAGTATTCAATATTATACTTTAGGGCCAGGCATTTAACAGATCAGTTTTCCCTAGGCAACATATTCCTAGGCCACATTTCCCTAGACCTCATTTCCCTAAGCCACATTTCCCTAGGCCACAATAACATTGCAAAATTATTTCGGCATTTGATGTTTATGTACTCTTTATATCTTATTCCATTTTGTTGAATTTCGTATAATGCTTAATGTTAAATCAATATTTAAAAAAAGTTATTTATATAAATGCGTATGGTAAGGCATTTAGAAGTAATTGACCAAAATTAGATTATTGAGTTTTGCATGTCATTGGGTATATATATTTAGACTACTCTACAAGGTACCATATTGGATCGCTGTCAGAAAAAGGATCGAATTAGATTTTAAATACAGTATTTTTATGTTATAATACAGCAATCTTAATGATGAAAGCAATATTAATTAAATTTAGAAAAAATAAGTAAAATAGATTTGGTGAAAAAATTTGCATAACTTAATTCAGAAATTTGTCTGAATACACTGTTTCGTTGTTCGTGCCCAATCAGTGTTTGGTAGATATCTTGCTGCCGATATCAAAAGACAAATTTGGTGACATTACTTATTGCTTGATCACAACTTTATTGGCAATGACAATATAACAATTGTATATAAATGGAGTACTGATTTAGATCTAAAATATGGTACTATGTATGAAATTGACCAATGATGTTTCTAAGAAAGCTTACCGCAGTTCTTAAAACATGAGTTATTTTTATTTTATTATACTTTTAAAATTATAAGTGAATCTTAATACTGTACTTAATTATCTTAATACTTTATGCTCTTTATAAAGTATTCTAGTTTGGTTTGGCAGTTTATGTAGTGTGTAACAAATGTCTTTGTCTTTCTCAAGAATTAAGTAATATTTTACTAGGTTTTGTATTGTAGGAGTTTGGTTAAATTGATTACATACATAATGATTATTAAACCTTTGCCAATATTTGACGTGAAGTCATTAACCTCGTCTAGTTTGAAGCGGCTAAATGTTTATTAGCCTCTTCCTGCAGCTTTGTGTAAGTAAACTCTTTAACATTATTCCCAACAAAATTTGGAAAATCTTTGTAATGAAGACATTTATATAAAACAAGGCTTAAAGATATTTTCTGCTCAAAATTTTTCTGGTAACATCCTAGTAAGTTTCTACAATATATATACTGTGTGCGTGTGTAATTACCTAAGTGTAGTTACAGGATGAGAGACTGGTGACTAAGTGTAGTTACCAGAATAGGGGTTTGTTTCGGGAAGCCTATTTTTCTGGATGCCTGTCCGGCAGACATAGAATGCTCCCAACCACAGGGGGATTTCTATAGGCCATTGCTCCTCGTGCCTCTCTGAGGGGTGCCAGGTTCAGGCTCGTAGTCCCCGGTAGGCAAGAACTCCATGCACCTTGACTGATGCCAGAAAGTTATACATATCCATTCAGGCTGGATAGCTCCAGGAGCCTCTGGAACTTGGGACTCGCCCAGAAAATGTCGTTCCGTTACATTCAACGCTGGTTTTTTGGATGATTTTTTTCAGAGATTTCAAACTCTATTTTCCTTGTTTCTTTAGGTTGTTTTGATGATTAGGGTCCAGAATAGGACTTTTTTACTTATATAAATTATACCCTAAATATATTCCCTAAATCATTATAATTATCCCTATATTTTTTTTTTTTGGGGGGGTTATTTTTCTTGATTTCATTTCTACAAACATTGACCTACAACTTTCACATACTTGAGTACGAATGCCAAACAATGTTTATTACAACATATAAGTAAATTCATGAATTAGAACTGCCTTATTCACTGTTGATAACTTCACCTTCAATTATATCTATAACTAAAATTTCAACTTGCTTTAGTATCCAAAAATCTAGTTTCTGATCGATTTTCACAATTTTTACATACAGTATAGTGTGTACAGCTGTCTGTTCTACAATCCCTATAGAATTGATTTTCATAAACTCTAAATGTTTGGAGTTATGCGCAAATTTAGACAAAAATTTATATTTCAAATGCCATATTGACAAATCTTTTTTACAGTAATCTATACCAAAACCTATATTCTAAATATATGAAAATGAAGATCATATGCTATTCTGAGAGCATAATAACACCAAATGAACAGTTGGTGATATTTTTATATTTTTACAGCTGATTTCAAAATCTGAAGTTTTCAATATTCAATTTTATAATTATTTTTTATTTTCTTGTTTTTCAAGTTACTCATATCATTTAGACAAAGTTGGAGCATATGCCTAGTAGATTATTCACAAAACATTTGAAAGAGTTTCAGAAAATTTAAAAAACTGAGCTCAATGTCACACATATGAAGTTTTGCATAGTTCAAGGGTTAATCTTGATAGTATTGACTAAATCATGTTTTTGAAAATCAGTGATTATGAATGAATCTTCTGAACTTGAAACTAGCAAACAGATGGCAACATTATTGTTAATCTTTATTTTGCTTACAAGAGTTGAACAGTTTGTTTGGTTCACTTATGTACTCCATACCCATGATGTGAGCAATGGTGATAGAAGATAAGAGGCGCACAAAGGGTTCAGGAACTGGACCCCAAAATGTTTTGCTGATCAAGCTACAGTACTGATGTGTTTGTTACATAATTTAACATAAATTAATCAACAGTAGTTTCTTAGTTTATCAAGCTAACATCAGCGTGATCTCACGAGGGCCTAACACAGTGTGTGTGTGTGACTCCAGTCAATTGCATACAATTTTACTTGCCTTTTGTGAACCCTACACCCATCTAATAAGTGTTGGTGGAAAGGATGCAATTACCTGCATGCTGATTGCCACCATGCCCTTATTTATTATATGCTAATAAGAGATATTTGATTATTGCCAGAAGTTGGTAATAAGTTGTGCTGGTAACATCAGGATTAGTGTGTTGGAATAATACTTTATTAGTATGTTTCATCACTTCACCCACAATTGATTGAAAATGGCAGTGGTCAAATTTTATGAACAGATTAATGCACAATTGTCTTGTCACAACTTCTTATAGAAAACAGAGTTGGCACAACAGGCAATGAATGCTCAGGACTAAGATAAACTTCAAGGCCCTTCAGTGAAACACACTATTCATAAATCAATTTATTTACTGATAGATTCACCTCAATAAATTTTGTCGCATACATGTATGGATTGGTCATCACAACAAATTACAGAATGTCAACACATGTTACAATTTGTATACATTATGACAATGTCTAAAATTACCATCAGAATGCTAGGTGATTAGAATAAATTTTTGCCTGATTAGAGAATATCAGATATGCAGCCTACAATGAATTAAACATTTGTTCACTATGTTGCTGATATCCATGTAAAATCTCTACATGTATTTATATATAGAAGGAACCAAGGTAAGAATTTATTTTCTAAAATATTGGAACTTCTTATTGTGCTCTTACTGCATCTACATTTAAATGTAATTTAAAGAAAACGTCCGATAAAGTTCTCAAAAATATTTTATATATTTTGGAAGACATTTGAATGGTTAAGATTATTT